GTCAGGATTTTAGGTAAAAACAGAACATACACTGTAATTCAATTAATGAACAATTAATGTAGCCAAAATACCGGTAGGTTACTAGATCGACAAGTTTTATTCATCTTTCACAATGTTTGGCAGTTTGTTTTAGATAGGTCATATGCAAACTAGGAATCAACCCGCATCACTCATAATTTCAAGAAAACGTCTATTGTTGAGGTAAAACTGATTTTGATTAAGTGGTCAAACAATTCTAATTGCTTTTAAAATGAAAGAAAAAGTGAGCAAGCTCACATACCCCACGCTCCCCCAAAATTCAAAGTGCTGATAATCCGGGGAAAAATAAAGGAATTGGAATTTCCTTGTTATATATGCACATCTACACATTGTGTCCTAAATATCTGCAAAGTTTGATTGAATTCTGTGCAGCGGTTGATGAGGAGTTGCGCTGACGAAGTGTTCATCACTATATTCAAGATTTCCCCAAAAATCTAAGTTGAAAAGTGCCAAAATTCCCACAAAAATAAAGGATTCGGAATTTCCTGGTAATATGCACATCTACACATTGTGTCCTAAATATCTGCAGAGTTTGACGAAATTATGTGCAGCGGTTTATGAGGAGTTGCGCTGACAAACTGTTCTTCTCTATATTCAAGGTATGACCAAAAACCTAAGTCTTAAAAAAGTGCGGAAATTCCCGGAAAAAACAATGAAATCGGAATTTCCTGGTATTTTATGCACATCTAGACATTGTGTCCTAAATATCTGCAAATTCTGTACAGCAATTTATGAGGAGTTGCGCTGACAAAAAACAGGACTGACGGACGGGTCAAAAACATTATACCTCACGCGACTAGTTGCGTGGGGTTTAATGATATCAGGTTCATTTCTTTATTTTCCCTCTTTTGCACTTGTCGCTTTTGTTCAAAACTCATTAATTTTGCTCGTTGTGCGATTCATCGTGTTATGAAAATCATGACACATTGACTTAATCATTGTATAGTGAAAGACTGATGGTGAGGAAATTCCAAGAGAACTTCCATTTAGGAGCATTGCAAGGCATTACAGTTGCAATACAAGAGGGGTGGGGGTGGGGGGATTTGCCCACCACCACCCTTCAAAGATGTCCTTTTATACAATATTTGCCTTTAAAAAAACAAGAAATAAAATAATGACAAATTAATTTGCTTTTTTGCAGAAACTTGATATCAATGTTTTAAGAATATGTCTGTGGAATAAATATACTAAATATTATTCCTCATCAAAGATATATATTAACAGTTTAATATATTTACTAATTTGAGGTGCCCTCATAATCTTAACTATTCATAAATTGCATAAAATTACCTGAAGATTTTAAAAGAATTCTCACATTTTACTTGTCAATAGAGCCCCCCCCCCTCCCTAATGAGAAGCCCCCTTGGGACCACAAGTTTTAAATATTTTGTAAAAACACTCTTGCTCATCAAAATTATACACTTCTTTCTTTACTTTGTAACCAGTAGTAGAAAAAATATTCTGAGGGAAATTATGCATTTTTACTATTTAATCAACAGAGCCCCCCCCCCTTCAACAGAACCACTGACCCTGGGGCCAAAAAGTTTGAAAGCAACATTCTTGCTTATCATAACTATGCACCCCCTTTGATTTGAACCCTGAACAGAATAGAAAAAAAAATTCAAAGAAATAATGCATTTTCGCAAAAGACTTTTGAAATCACTTCTCTGTTTTCAGTATATTTTATTCAAAATACTATTACTGTACAAGATTATACAAAATTCATTTTATAACCTGTTTTTATTTATTTTTTATTCCAAGGATCTTCTTTTAAACATCATCATTCAACATCACTGACTCGTTTTCACATATGCATGAGATCTATTCTCTTGCTAAACTCATTTTCTAAACCAGCCTGAAATAAGAAAAAAAGACAAAATATTTATTTTGTAACTACTGTAGATTACTTATTTTTCACGAGTACCGTATATACTCGCCTATAAGTCAATCCGCCTATAAGTCGGTTGTATATTTTGACGTTATTTTGCTGGAATTTGCTATTGACTCGCTTATAAGTCGGGTACAATTTTTTGCCAAAACTGGGCGACAACTTCAAGTAATTTCATTGTTGCCTGAATAGTTCCAATTAATATTTTTCGAAATGACACTGATATTTAATCTTAAATCATAAAACAAAAAGTCAATGCACACTTAAAATACAAATAAGATTTATTTTATTAAAACTTATAAATATTTGTACTTTAAGTACTCTCAGAATACATAAATAATCACATATATTCTTACATTTTCTTCGATAATCGTCAGAAAAGCAAATACTACATTTCAGCCTCCAGAAAAATACTAATCTCTTTATGACTCGCCTATAAGTCGGACATAGAGTTTTAGATCAATATTTAACTCCCAAAATACTGACTTATAGGCGAGTATATACGGTACTTATTTTCGTGAATTGCTCTTCAATGTCAAATTGTGAGAATTATAATTCGCGAATGGACAGTTGAGATTTTACATATATTTCAGCAAGATGAAAAAGAAATTAAAAGCGAGTAATTTATTTCACAGATGGTGCTTCTTGCGAAATTACGCGATAATTAATTCCACACGTATAATTAGGGATCTACAGTAAAAAATGATATTGTACAGAGTGTATGACAACAATGATAGACAAAAGACGATTCATGATCCTTTGCTTTGTGTGAGCTAACTAATCTTGCAACATATGAAACTTAAAAAAAAAAAAACAACTTTCAAATAAATTATACTTACCAATTTTACTTTTAATTCTTCAATTTTAACTTTGATAGATGATAAATCCTGAAATATTGAACACATAAATGTACATGTATATCAAATCAACAAATATCATAGACTTTTTCAATAATCCGGAACATCTCTAATATATACCGGAGGTAGGCTGCTGTATGTCTGTAACTTGGACTGTAGGGGAGACATCTCCTCCTGAAGCTTTTGTAACTCCTAAAGAAAGTGCAAGTACAGTGGAACATTAAAATGTTATAATGCCCCCTTTCATAGTTTACAAAGGATAACTGAGAACTAGAACTATAAAATTTGAAATGTTTTATAATATGATTTATTTTTTATCAAAATATTTGATATTCATGAACTAAATATATACCCCCACTGAATAACTAAGTCTATTAATACTTCTAATGTCTACATATTAGTTAAGCTTGTCATCATGAACTGTGAAAATGGAAACGGCACCATTCAGTCAGTAAGCTGAACACTGATATCTCAAATACCTTGGTCATAAGTCACTTGTAAGACCCAACCACTTTTCCTTGATGTTTTTAACCTTCAATATCCTGAACTCTCAGAAATTGAGTTCAAGATAATGAAGTTTGACTGTAATTTACTATTATCAATTAAAACTTAGCAATTTCTTAATTGGCACTGATTTTCTGATACATCATTAGACTAGCAGAATCTCTTACCTTTGAACTCTGTACAAGGCTATTGTGATAAATGGAGGGATCCACTTTCAGTTTTTGAAGAGATTTCTGCAAAATATTTAGATCAATAAGTACATGTACAGTGTATTATGATATATTGATTAAGTGATGCATGGACACTTGTATATAAAACAATGTTTTCCAACCTAGATTATCCTCCATAAATTATTCAATTACATGTATTAGATGTGGACTGGAGCTTTTTAATTTTTATAATTTTAATGATTTTTTAAAAATTTGTTTCCCTCATTCTCCTTTAGAAATTTAAAATTTCTTCACATTTTACCTGCATTTGTTTAATTTTATCCTGATATTCTTTGGTCTTGCTGCGGATGAAGTGAACATCTTTCATTCGTTTCTCAGTTTCTGGTTGCTGACATGCTGCTTTTTGCTCAAGTACATCCATGGCTCTGTAATTTTAATTTTCACAAAGTGAATGCCCACAAGGTTTCCAGTTTCCACATTTATAACATTCATGTACAAAGACAAAACCTATGCTTTTTTTTGCACAACACAGTTTTTTGTTTTCCTTTCAAATTTCTTTCTTCGTTGTTTTTGCTCAGTGATAGTGTACATACATGTATTCAATATTTTCATTTTGATTAGATGTAAATATAATTCTAACAAATAAGGAGATGTTGATTGTCTTTATCATTTCTACAACTGTTTAATATGTAATTTCACTTAATCTGTGCTCTGAGATAGGTTTTCTGCTCCCTGCTGCCTTGTGATACAAACATGTACATTAGAATTTCCTCCTTACTTTTTGAGGTGACTCTGTTTAACCATGGCAGTTTTGATTTTCTCAGTTAAAATCTGTAAATTTCTCTCCTCTTTCCTTCTGGCTTCCTCAGCCTTGTATATTTCATCATCTAAATGTTGCATTGCCAGAAGGAAACTGAAAATACCAGGGTAGATACATTACATGAATATGGAAACAAAATATAAAGGGTATGTTTTTACACTCTCAGATTATAATGGACAGTTTTGTAAATGTAAGAAAAAAAAGATTACCCCGGGTAAATAAAAAAAATCTTTAAAAAAGTGTCAATGAAAATCATCTTAAGATTTATCACAGAACTTTCTATCTTATCATTTACCTGGGTATGTCTTCTGAGCTCAAAATTTTCTTATCTCTTTATCTATATAAAAATTATCCACAATGCCCACCTTGTATCAGATGTGTCTTTTATTTGTAAAATAAGGGCAAGGTTTGCTATAACACGAAGGGAGATAACCCCAGCTTGGGACAAACTGGCAATGGACAAATTCATCCTCTTTAAAACTCCTTCACATCTTCTGGCTGCAAGAAAAATTTAGAATAGAAGTTTTACTTATTGTTAAAACCATTAGGATAAGCAAAACTTCATTAGTGTGATAATTCTATACCTCTTAAGTATAGTTTTGCAAAACTTATGTACATTTTCAGAGCTCCAGATAAGGTATTTGCAGAAATACGCATTAAATTTTACAAAATATGCATTGAAAATTAAAATAGAGCGTACAATTACGCATTAGCAATCATAGATATGCATTACACCACGAAAGTACTGCGTACAACAAGTTGAAGAATACAGTTACGACTTACTTTATGATACGAATTGGGGTTTACTAAGTGTTTGATTTTTCTCAAAATGAAGTATAGATTTAAAAGCTTTTAATTAATAATTAATGATAATTAATCTTACCCAATTAATTAAATTTATCGCCCCCCACTGCCTTTTGAATCAATATGAGGATACCTTCTATGTTATATTCCTCTGCCTTTTGTCGATAATCCTCCACCAGGAGTTTAGTATCTCTGTCAGCATGCTCGTTACATCTCATCAGATTGTACAGAAGAGATAAACTGGTGGCATTTATCTCAAACTCAGGGATGTCATCTCCAGCAAATACATTCTCAAGCCAGGTTTGTACCTTTGAAAAGCAACACGTTTGCCAATGTATTCAAAGATGGTCCATTCAATTTGCCAAACATAACCTATAGAAGCTCTGAGAGTTGGTTTCTTTTTTCATTGGTAGTGTCAATGTTCCTTTTTTAGGGATAGGAATTCTGTATTTCAATATACTGCAATAATCTAATATTGTATTGCAATATGCATTTTATTGGTATATCAATATTGCATTACAATTTTGTATTTTTTTTCAATTCTCACTTTTCTTTGATTTCAAGTTCAAAATTCAAGTAATTATGATTAATATGTTTATAGTACTGTACTTAGTTTAAGGATGACACAGCAGTGTAAACGAGAAAGTAACTATTCTGAATATAAATCATCATATGATAGTGTCGAGAAAATTCAGAACGGCATTCAACATGTTCAAACTGACTGCAAGACAGATTAGCGTAAAATAAGACAAACGTGAAAAGACCATCATTTCAGAACTCACCTCCTCATGCTTTGTTGTCATTGATTATGATGTGAGTAGAGTGTTTTCAAGTTTGTTACACTTTGCTTCTTCAACTTTTCCCGGGCTATCATAATAATAATCCGGAATCGAACCGAGGCGTATTCCAACGTCTACAATCTACTTTCACTTTATCCAAAATAAGGTTGTCGTTTGGTTGGTCAGTTGCAGTCGGTTGGTTGAGGCTATATTTGGTAAACGGAAGATTTCACACAGGTATTAGTAATTTTGAAAGAAATAACAACATACATTTACGGGTGTATTGATGACATGGAGATAACATGGAAAGAAATTGAAAACTTTTATCACGAAATCATTATTTGATTTTCCTAAACTTTGTACTTTATGCCATTTTGACTTTAACAGGTTGGGAACACATCCCCTTTAGAGAGATCATCTCACGAAATCGCGATTATCCCTCTCTAGCGGGAGAAAAAATATTACCATAAACTAGTATTTTGTTGTTTTCGTTATAAAATAATCATTAATCAAAGATCTTGTGCGTATTGAAAATCCGGGAGAAAGCTGCATTGAAGCATGAACTTACTACAGAAAACTGACAATATTGGCTAGAAATTTCAGACAATTACTGCTGCGTGTGAGAATACGAGGCTGAAATCCACATGTAAATCGTGCCATTTTTAGCGAAGGTTTCAAGATTTACAGTCATATATGTTTTTGAAGCATATAAAATATGAATAAATATCGAAATTATATTTGATAGGGTCTTGGCTTTCCATTCTTGCAGTACAAAAGTTAAAAATAATGTCCTTCAGAAACCCATGATATTTGCTTATATATTTGATCTTTGGTTGATGCTTAAAAGTATGGAAGCTTAATAGGGTTGTAACGTTTGTTGAAAAGTCATGATTAAAAAAAAAACGAAGTATAAATTGAGATGTGTATAGAGTATGAATAAACTATTAATTGATTTAATAAAATATTGAAAAAAAATTATTAAAAAAAGGTCTATATTGAGTCTAATCGACATATTGACTCGGTACAAAATGTTGATTCACGGTAAACTTGTAAATTCATGAAACTTAAGCATATCATGATTCAACGGCGTCAGAAAATTTGAGAAAAAAAGGGGGGCTAAATCAAAGAGAAAGAATTCAACCTGAAAGAAAAATTGACTAAAAAGAGGAGAATTTGACCATTTTCCAAACCTGGAAGTCCTATTTCGTGCGGGTAGAAGGGGGGGGGGGCGAACTTTTTTCAGTTACCACTTACCCTTCTTTTCATTCACACTGAAACATGCCTGTTGAAAGTGAAAAACATGTTACCTTGAATTACTTTTCATAACTACGATAATTAGAGAAAACAGAAATGCGAAATTGTTGAAATTACTGCTATTAACGTGTTGTTATAATTTAAAGAAGTATGCCCTAGGTATTTGTATTTTAATGACATGCATTCTTAATGTTTTTACTCGGTGGCAATGAACAGTTCTTCGTTTGAGGACACTTTAATTGCGTTGGAAACCTATGTTGGGATCCTGCATATGTTAACATGTGTAAATAATAGGGAATCGGATACTTTCCAAAACAATAGCTACATGAAAGAACACAGACCAGGTGGCATTTTTATATTTAAAAAAAAGGGGGGCTTCTGACCCCCCCCCCCCCCAATTAAATAAATTTTAAAAAATGCCAAAAGTATTGATTGTTTATTGTGAAATGCCGAGTCGGCAAAATAGTGTATTTTGGTGGCGAATGAATACTGCTAAAGATATGCTTTATTTTGAAAGAATATCTACGAACACTGCAAGAAATGCTTCGAATTTTACATTTTATTATACCTTGTAATTGTTTAATTGAGTTATTAAGAGAGGGTATTGTGTTTGTGAATAGCTTCCTATTACATGAAGAAGAGTCTTAATTGGTCACCGATAAGACCCTTTCAATAAAAATGGTTGTGGTTTGAAAATGGTAAAGTTGATAGCGTTTAACATGCCAGATTAGAATCTTGATACATATCATACATTTAAAGAAATCTAGTCGCACAACCTACCTACTGTATTTTTTCCAAGTACCCCCCCCCCCCCCTTACATATTCGTCCATCTTTATGTACCATCAGGCATCTCTCGCCGTCTAAAAGATCACGTTTCCAATATAACTTTTACAGCCATATTTTGAGACAGTGCAATAGTTTAAGATAAAATCATTTTAGGGTTGATCAATTTACATATGACAAAAACTTAAAATTGACACTGAAAGTTTTTTTTTTCACGGGTTAAATATACGTAAGAATTAATATATCTGTCAGAAGATCGTGAAAACTCTGAGGAGTATAGCAAAGAACCAATGAGGGTTCTTCTTACAGTTAGAAGGTGGGGCTTAGTATCAGTCAATCAGGCGATTTGAGAATCTATATCCTAGTTTACCAAATAGACTTCGTGTCAAGATCGTATATACTCCCGCTTTTCAAGCAGGCATATTAAAAAAAGGTTAACGTACAATTACAATAAGCGTATAACCGAAGTTAGTTTCAATGTACTGATAATTATCACCTGTGGTCCTCCGTAGGAAGGCTACGCTATTGTTCATAAACTTATTCTAATTTCCATAAATTGCAGCAGTAGAGGCAATATTTTGAAGCAAATTTATTGAGATGAGACACTAAATATTTATCGAATGGGTTGACATACTTCCGGATTTTCCTTTTTCTGAAGTTAACACAGTTACAGTTTGAATCGGAGTTCAAATCTCGGTTTTCCGAGACGTATTTTCTCCCAGTAGAGAGGGATAATCGCTATTTAGCGAGATGATCTCGCTAAAGGGGATGTGTTCCCAACCTGTTTAAATTTGATAACAGAATAAGTGAATTTTTTTTTTACTATATACCAATATACATTGATAAGCTGTCAATCACTTTCATGGTAAGTTGTTTTTTTTTAATTATCTGTCAACAATTTTCATAATAGGAATCTGACCACAGGCACCTTAAGAATGGATAATACCCCCCCTTTTTTTTTTAATGAAAAAAAATGTAAGAGTGTATAATATCTCAAAAATATAAAATTTCCCATCCCACTCCCAGCTGTAATATTATGATATGTATATCGATCCCCCTCCCCGCACATGTCGATCATAATATTTAACTTATGATCCTCGAACACAAGTACAGGGGCTTGCTCCCAGCATGTTATAATTATCAAAAACTCATATACAGTAAAATTAAGGGAGGACCCCATGCATTTTTGTCCCCTTCCTCGCTTCAATGTCTGTTTTTGTTATATTCTCCCCTATTTTACTGACAGTGACTCACCTCCGCATATGTCAAGTAATGATTCTTCTAGGGCATTATGCTTGAATCTTCCCATTAAAGACTCTACAAGTATGACAGGGGTAGAAACTCCCTAAAATCACAACTCACAAACAATTGCAAATACCCCCAAAAAATGAACTCGCAGTTTCAAAAGACAATTAACTCACAATTTTAAAATGTAAGCTTTTTAAAATTTAACAGCTGTCTTTTTTCGTGATCATTGGACATACGGCACATGCTAGTTAATTTAAACATGGAAGATTAAAAGACATGAGTAACTAAAAAGAGAAAACTAAAGCTGGGTTGAAATGGATATTTTTTCAGGTGAAATTTATAATAAATAGTGCACTCACAAATTTTTGCAACTTCAAAATTTTTTAACTCGCAATTTGGGTATTCCGACTCGCATTTTGTGAGTTGTTTTAATAGTGAATTTTGAACCCTGCAATACACATTTCAGACTGATAATAATCCAAATGCACTCTTTTGACAAACAGTTGATCAAGGCTCGACATAAACGCTTGTCCAGTACCAGTGGAAAAAAATTGCGGACAAGTGAATTTTGCTGGGCACTTGTTAGATTTGACAATTGGTATAGTTTCAAGGTGGAAGCTGTACATAAAACCATACTTCAATCCCGATAGGGAGAGCTATTTATTGAGCCCATATTGGATCACATACTATTTGAAAGGCAAGAACTTACATGTACAAAGTATGGATTCTGTTTGATGTTGACAAGTTCACTTGTGAACTTTTATGTTGTTGTCACGACAGAAAGCCTAGATAAAATTTCGTTTTGTGTGTTTGTTGTTTTTATCAGTAACATCACAAATCAATCAAAATTAATTAAATTGAATATTTTCAGACATGTGAAGTTGAAGTTAGTTCACTTTGACAAGTAGGAAAAGAAGTTAATGTAGAGCCCTGTTGATATGGACTGAAAGAGAAAGTAACCTCAGCATTTACATTCAACTATGGAATTAGAACGTTTTTTTTCAAATTTATAATTAGCAGCTGTAACCAGTTTTACATTGTAGAAAACCCTCCAGGTTTTCAAATGTGTTCGAACTAAAAAAAAAAAGTTAAAATCAGTGTTTATCAACATAATTCTGGGTCCAGAAATAAATTATTTTGATTATAATAAAGAAAAGTTCATCAGTACAAAAAGACAGTTAATCTTGATGTATATGTTGTGGATGGCTGGATGCTAGCCCTTAGTTGAACCTATGCTTTTTCCGCTTTCATCTATAGCACTTCTGTTTTGCACAAGGACAAACTAACACAACTTCCAGTCAAAAGTTTATGAAATAAATGTCAAACAGATTGTTTTAAAAGAAACAGCACTGCAGATATCATTTTCAAGGTTTCATATTTTGTATAAACAAATATCTGTCTTTAATTAACATAAACAGGGCAATGTCATTAGATCATGTAAGTAAATAGTACACTATCTGCTCAGCACTCATAAAAACATATACAGTGGGATCTTGTTATTTTGGTGACGATTTTATAAGGTACTAAGAAAGCTTTTTACGTTGTAAATTCAAAGCACAAAATCATTTCTTAAAAATTAACAAATCTATTCAAATAGGTGTTAAAGACTGTTTATTATATTGTCCGAAAATGCCAGGACTCAGTATTTTATTGTAAAATAACTTAAAAATGACTAAAAGATAAAATCCGGTCCCACTCATGAAGTATTTTTATAAATTCCATTTTCAAGTACAAAACATTGTACATCTCATATGTTTAATTTTTTGACAGGTTACCATGAGCCCTTGTTGAGAGTTTACATAACATATGAATTAACACCCCCCCCCCCCTCCTTAAAAAAAAAAAAGAAAAATGGAGGAAGACATGGAGTTTGAAACCACAGGGTTTCACCCACACAGAGTGAAGGATGAAAAGCCGATGTTTGACTCCGATTACTACGCAGCAGAGGCTCTGGCCTGTGACATGGATATTCCTGTGATTTACAGTACTGGGAGGAACAAGGAACCAATAGAGGAGTGGTTAGAGAAAAATAAACCCTCTATGATTCACAGGTAATGAAAGGTACAGCTGATGTTGTAAATGCTCTGCCAAGTTGTTTGAAAAACCTTAGTTACACAATGCACATATTGAAGTACACAAAACTATTAAATTCAAATTATTCAGACCCTTAGTTGGTAATTAAATAGCCTGAGGTATTAAGTATATTTTTTGTAAGAAACTACATGTATATAACTTAATACATGGGTAAGGAATTTTTTGTTCCTGAGCATTTGTTAAAATTGTTGAATCTTGAATCCGAATCTTTCTACTATCTACTTTACAAAATATTTTAGAGATGATGGATTTGGTTGGATTCACGTCATCCGTTCAGAGAAGACAAAAAACATAAACTCGGATGAAGTGGACGTTTTGGGATTACAAGAGGCATGGGAAAACCTGAAAGCATCAAAAAGAGATATAAGTAAAGACAAAATTTTTGAACTAGCAAACAATTTTAGAGTTACTGCTGGTAAGTGGATGTTTTGGGTGGCAACTGGAGGAAAGGGAGATTACTTGTGGTCCTTGGTTGCCAAAGGTATTGCAAATGGGAATACTTTGGCTAAGCAGGCCAAAATCAGTGCTTGTGAACAGGGTAAAGAGGGTCCTGATAAAAACGAACATGTAGTATGCATCTATAATGACAACTTTCTGGATAAAGACCAAGTATTTGAAAGTGAAAGAACAATAAGAAGCCTGGGAATCAAATGTCAGCTTCAGTACAAACCAGATGTGTTCACCTACCTGGGAGTCTACCGAAAAAATCCTTGGAATCTTAGACCCACTATTTACAATAGCAACTTTGATGTCATAAGAAATCAGTCTATTATTGAAGAAGTGCATGGTAGATTTTAAAAGGTGGAAGTGAAAGGAGACTAGTGATTCATTTTTTTTTTAATCTTAAATGCAATGAGAAGTACATTGTAATTTGATTTTTAAGGATGTTGTGAAGCAACAAAATAGTTAGTTGATTAAGAGTTATTAAATTATCATAAGATGATCCAAAAAGACTGTCAAAATGATATTTACTTTAAAAAAAATATTTCGCCTAGGATCTAGAGGGTGTATATGTCTCAGACTTTCTTAAACTTTTCAGATTTTACATATGCTGCACTTCCTACTTAGCAGAGTGTCAATTAAGTTCTAAATTTTGAATTTACCAGGCATATATGTAAGATTACTCAGTACAGCTACTGGTAAATTTTGCAGAGAACTTCAACATGAATTGCACTTTTTTTTTCTGAGGAGAAAAAAATATTTACCCACAAAATTTAATAAACTTTTGAATATAGGAGTAAGATACATGTACCCATCTGTCACACTGGTTCTACTGAGTAACATTTTTCTATCTGACAAATGAGTGTATGAATACAATCAAGTAAAGTCAACCTCATTATCTAAACTCAGTGGGACCATGCACATTTACATCTTCGCTAGCCAAGGGTTTCTGATATGCTACTCTCCTCATGAACCCTAGGCATACGATGTTGATAGAAATTGGGGTTTCCGTTTTCGTCTGTCGTCGTGCGTCGTGTGATAACATTTGAACATTTTCAGCTTCTTCTCTGAAACCACTGAACCAATTTTAACAAAATTTGGTATACAGCATCTATGGTTAAAGGGGAACAAAAATTTTGAATTTTATGGTTCCCGCCCCCCTGGGGCCTGAGGGGTGGGGCCAAAACCACCAAAATTATAGCAATCTTTAAAAATCTTCTTTACTCCTGCACATTAAGCAGGCAAACTGTTGGCATGAATGTAATGAGCATTGAGTCCTCTACCAAAATTGTGAAATTCATGACCCCAGGGTCGGGGTTCCAGTGCTAGGGCGGGGCTATATAGATTATATAGTGAAAATGCATGATTTCTTTGAAAATCTTCTTCTCTGCTCCTGGGTATTAAGTAAACTAACTAAGTACATATTTTTGATGAGCAAGAGTGCCTCTTCCAAAATTGTGAATTTTATGGCCTCAGGGTCAGGGGTTCTGGTGTTGCGGCGGGGCTCTATTGATTATATAGTGAAAATGCATTTATTCTTTGAAAATCTTCTTCTCTGCTCCTGGGTATTAAATAAACTAACCAAGCACATAGTTATGATGAGCAAGAGTGCCTCTTCCAAAATTGTGAATTTTGTGGCCCCAGGGTCAGGGGTTCTGGTGTTAGGGCGGGGCTCTATTGATCATATAGTGAAAATGCATTATTCTTTGAAAATCTTCTTCTCTGCTCCTGGGTACTGTAGATCACTTAATTTTCGCGAGACCTTATTTTCGCGAGATAGTCATTGACTCTTTATTAGCAAGACACAATTTTCACGAATTGTGGTCACTGCTCTATATAATCTTAAGGAATTCTATTATACGCGAGAATGAAATTTTTGCGAGCATATAGTCTCGCGTAATTACGCGAAAATAAAGTTCCCGCGAATAAGAAGTGATTTACAGTATTAAATAAATAACTAAGTACAGAGTTATGATAAGCAAGGTTGCCTCTTCCAATATTGTGAATTTGATCGCCCTAGGATCAGGGGTTCTGGTGTTAGAGTGGGGCTCTATTGATTATATAGTGAAAATACACTAATTCTTTGAAAATCTTTCCTTTGCTCCTGGGTTTTATGCCAATGATCCAAGTATATTATTTATGATAAAGAAAGATGCATTTAGCAAAATGGTTATTTTTTTTATGCCCCCCCCTCCCTGGGTTGGGGGTGGGGGGTACATAGTCTGAAAATAAATTAATGCTTTGAAATCTGCTCTTTAGTATTAATCAGCCATTTTATGATCAAAATTTTGAAATATATGGCCCCTGGGTATCGAGACAGTGTTTCGTTTGGGATTAGGTGGACAACTGGTTATAAAGTGGAAGTGCATTTTCTCTTTGTTACTCTGATCTACCTCTGGGTATTTATTAAATAGAGTAAGCATGCAAAGTCTATAATTATGATAAGCAATGGTGCCTCTTTCAAAATTATGAATTGCGAATTTCATGACCCCTGGATTAAAACACGAACCAAATTTAATTGTTTGAAAGTTGTTGCACAATACTCAGGTGACCTATATGGCCCGTGGGCCTCTTGTTTTCTCGAGTTTTGATTGGGATTCAGTACATCCGGTCAACCAATCAGCAATTGTTTTTTGTAAATGACGAAATTTGCGTTCAGGATACTTCTTGACTCTAATCTCGGAAATAAAAAACGCAAGTAAACAACGATCCGTAAGATAACATGCAATATTCTATGAGTAGCTATGCATCGTCGCAAATTTGTGGAAATAGAATCATCAATGG